CGTTGAACACTGGTGTTCTATTTTTTTAAATAGCTTAAATATGAAAACAATAATTCTCAATTCTTACCATATAACTTTAGGGTTTTAGTCTAATAATTAGAGGAGACATTAAAATAATATTAGAGCAACATAATGGTTGAGGACTTTGATGTTGCCTTTTAACCCAGATATCATGTTCTTACTTATAATAAAAAAGAGTGTTATTTTCTTAGTAGTAAGTTCAAAACAATGATACTAGCCGGGCCTATGTGCAAATGAACCCCATTTCTGAAACATCAAGCACATGAGGAATATTTTTTTTTTGTCAATGAATTCAATTTTATTCATTTCCCAAATGTGAAAAAATTATGTACATCAAATCATCCAGACCATAGTCTGGGAATCAACTAGTAAGAAGATTACAATTGCTCAATTTTCTCTTTTACGTATAAAAGAATTTTGTCATTCAAGACTTTTGAAAGAATGGAGATCTTAATATTGCGAAATAGGACTTCATGAGCTCTAGTCTTTTGCTGAAAGATCCGCTGGTTCCTCTCAATCCAAATCGCATACATTGTTGAAGACAAAGCTAGCCTTTTCAATTTCTTCATGAACCCATCTCCCCTTAGCCTAGTGTTGTACCAATCGATGATACTATCCCAACTACATGACCTCCATTTGTATTCTAGCGAGTTCATCATATTGTTCCACACCTCAACAGAATATTGACATTCAAATAGGAGATGTCGACAGGTTTCATTGCGCTGATTTGAACACAAGAAACATATATTTTTGTCCAGTATTCCCATATGACATAACATGTCTTGTGTTAATAGCTTTGCATGAATAGCTAGCCACAGTATAAAGAAATGCTTGGCGTAGTTCCAACTATCCCAGACAGTATCCGACCAATGCACCTTTGGAGTATGCTGTGCAATTTCTTTGTAAATAGAGGATATTATGACTTTGCCCCCAGAACAGCATTTACTGATTGTATTTTGTAGATTACTAACATTCCCAAATTTACCAATGAGAATATCTCTCACCTTTAGAAGTTTCTTCCACATCCATGAATTGCTCACCCTCACTTGAACATGTCAGATATTATGTTGTTTTAGATAATTTTCATGAACACATTTTATCCACAAGTCTTTCTTTAAATGAATCAACCATAGAAGCTTAGTTGCAGCTGCAAGATTCCAATTTCTTGCCGAAAACACTCCAAGGCCTCCCTGTTTTTTATCTTTGCAGATTGTCTCCCATGACACCAGATGCATTTTATGATTCCAAAGGAAGTTAGAACATAATCTGTCAATTTTCTCTAAGATCTTCATAGATAGGATGTAGTTGCTTGTCCAGAATATTTGAACCCCCAAAATTACATATTTAATTAGCTGCAATCTACCAGCATAAGAAAGGTTTTTCCTCTTCTGCCAGCTTTGGAACTGATCAGTGATTTTATTAATCAGAGGGGAACATTCCAGAGAGCATAATCTTTTTGAGATTAAAGACATCCCCAAGTATCTCACTGGTAATACCCCCTCTGAAAAATTCAAAAGAGTACAAATCTGCTGCTTCAAACTTTCATCAATGTCATTTAAGTATACAGAGCACTTATTTGGGTTAACTTCTAATCCAGAAACTTGACTAAACTCCTGAAGACAACCATATAGCTTTTCAACAGGGTAGATGTTAGCTTTTCCAAACAGAAGCAAATCATCAGCAAAGAATAGGTGAGTGATATTTAACTTGGAGCATTTGGGATTATATTTGAATAGTCTATCATTTTTAAGAGTGTTTAACCTTCTTGACATATACTTCATTCCAAGAACAAAAATATAAGGGGAGAGGGGATCCCCTTGTCTCAAGCCTCTAGCTCCCCTAAAATATCCATGAAGTGTTCCATTCAAAGATAAAGAAAACTTAGCAGTTGTAATGCACTCCATGATCCACATTATCATTCTGTTAGGAAACCCCAACCCAGATAGCATAAATTCAATGAAACTCCAGCTAATTGTATCGAATGCTTTTCTTAAATCAATGTTGAGAATGGCTCTAGGTGAGGTCTGTTTTCTGCCATAATGCTTTACAAGTTCATGTGCCAATAATATGTTACTAGAGATACTTCTACCTCTGACAAAAGCACTTTGTCCATCACCAATCAACAAACCCATAACCTCTTGAATTCTGCCAGTAATAATTTTTGAAATGATTTTATACACACAGTTACAGCAGGAAATTGGCCTGAAGTCTGAAGTTGTTTTAGGATTGTGTATCTTTGGCACCAATGTAATAGATGTAGAATTAAAAGTTCCTAGAAGTTTATCAGACTTGAAGAATTCCTCAACAGCTAGATAAACACCCTCACCAATGATTCCCCAAGCACCTTTGAGAAAAGAAGCATTGTAGCCGTTAGGTCCAGGGGATCTTTTACTTGACATAGAGAATACTGCATTTTTGATCTCCTTTCTAGAGATTGGAAGAACCAGGGAGTTACTTTGAGCTGGAGATAATACTGGTCCACTTGAAATTACCTCAGGGTCAGGAGTAGAGGTATGAGTAGCAACACCTAGAAGCCTTTCATAATATTCAATGAATTCAGTAGCAATATCAGCTATGTCTGTAATCCTTTCACCATTCTCAGTATATAATGACAACACTATGTTGTGGTGCCTCTTAGCTTTCATTATGGAATGGAAGAATTGAGAACATTTATCACCATATAAATCCCATCTAATATTAGCTTTTTTTTGTTTGTAGAAAGAGGTTTCACAATCAATTAGTCTGGTATATTTTCTTAAGCATTCCTTCTCCTTTGATATCAACATTTGATTGAAAAGATCATTGTTCAACAGATTTTGAATGTCAGAGAGTTCACATTTAGCTCTTATCACCTACTCACTTATATTCATAAAATGCTTCTTGTTTAAATCTTTCAGATTCTGCTTAAGCTTCATGAGCTTTGTATGAAGCTTATACATGTGAAAACCTATGATATCTTATTCCCAAACAGTCTTGACAACTATGGTAAAATCAGGATGATTTATCCACATACTAAAAATTTTGAATGGTCTTCTTCCTTTAAAGTCATCTTCACCAATTGTTATGAGAGCAGGGGATTGATCAGAGCAATTTGGAACCAGGTAATCCACTTGAATGGAGGTGTAAGTCTGGATCCATTCTTCATTTATTAATACTCTATCAAGTCTACTCCAAATTCGAGAATCAGCCCCTTGTTTGTTGTTCCATGTGAAAAAACAGCCAGTAGTCTTCAAATGAATCAATTGACATGTAGAAATAAAATTTATGAAGTCTTCAGTATCATAGTCAGAGACAAGAGCACCCCCTAACTTTTCCTCATTGCTGATTATGGCATTAAAGTCACCCCCAATGATCCAGGGACAGGTAACATTTTGTTTGAGAGAAAGTAAATCATGCCAAAGCTCCTTTCTACCTTCCAGATTATTTAGTGCATAGACCACAGTAATAATGCATGAGAGCTTTCCATCCATAGAATTAATATTACATGATATGAACTGATCAGAAGATGATATGCATTGAACAGAGAGTATATTATTATCCCACAGAATCCAAATTCTTCCATTATTAGCTTGCTGAGAATTAGAAATCCAATTCCAATTTTTAACCATTTTCCTTGCAATCCATTGCATTTTATTGCCTGCAACTTTTGTTTCTAAAAGAGCTATGAAAGAAAGATGGAAATCATGAACAAACTATTTAACAATCATGTGTTTAGAGGATTTGTTCAACCCTCTAATATTCCAAATGGCTAGTTGCATTATTGGGATAATCCACCTCTATCCAAGTTAGAAGGGTCAAGATCATGAACCTAACAGTTCAATAAAGAGAATTGGGATGTCTGTATATAAGAAGATGCCAGGTTTGCCTTGTCACCAATATTAATCCTTTTAGCAGCATTTTCCCTATTAACACTTGAAAAATCAGAGACATTTACAGTAGGGGAGGTTATGTTTGCCAAACCCATATAATTACTCCTGGAAACCTACAAAGAGTCTTTCCCAGAACTGGGTACTGTTGGTGCATGTTTATGAGGCTGATTCTTTCAAGAATTCTCATTCTCTTTTTCAGCAGAATCTTGATTTATAATAGGCTCTTGTATTTGTCTATTAACAGGAGAAACCACATTTTGTGCATGCATATTTATCTCCTTTTCAGAACCATTAGCCCTCTTCTGTAAAATATGAACATGTTCACCCGAAGCTAGTGTACTTGTCACTTGTTGCTTGGGAACCCACATTTTTTTCATAATTTGCCTTCTACATTGCTCAGTCATGTGCCCAATTATATTACAATTTGTACACCATCTTGGTTTGAGTTCATACACTATCCTTTGGTTATAGCACTTCCCATCAGGTCCTTGGATAACAATCTGATCAGGGAGAGGTTCTTTTAGAGGCAATTTAATTTCAACCAAAACTCTAGCATAAGATAATCTCTCTCTTGTAGCAGTCAGCTTATCTGTAGTAATAGGAATACCAACAGTACTAGCAATCTTACTGATACCAGAGGGAGCCTCCACAAATTCAATTTTAGATGGCAACTGAATTCCACATAGTGGTAAGTGTAATCTTGAATTTTCTCAATATCAGTGTCAAGAGACCAAGTGTTTAAAACAAAACTGTCTTGATCCAAAGAACCATGGCCCAGCCTCTAAAATCTCTTTCATTGTTTGTCCGATTGAAAATCAAGATGAAATAATCCTTGCTTTATTAAAAGAACTTTAGGTATAGAGAATTTGCACATGAGGAATATTGCGAGAAAAAAAACATTCTTATTGTTTCTTTCTGGACTTCTCCTGTATCCTGGCGCTAAAATACAGCTTGCTTCATCAATTTATATATGGTATAAAGATAAGGATTAATTATCCATTTTGGGCGGGGTGTGGGGGGGGGGGTTGCTAAAGCTGCACTCGCATTGAGATAAGTGCCCTCATGGAGGGAGAGGGTTTTTATTTGACTATAAGAAATATAAGTGTCCAAACAAGCATAAGAATAAGCGAACAGAATTTGACAAAAAAATTCTTAGTGGGTTACTAACCACTCATTTAATCGTGACAACAAATCTCAATCTAAATGAACATACTGAAGTGAACTCATCCATATATAGAAGGATTGAGAAAGACACGTCCTATACAAACAAAACTAAAGAAAATTTGTCATGAATTTGCACTGCTTAGTCCTTCATCTGCACTTAACAAATCAATACAGCTCTCGATGCATTCCAATCTGTTTGACAATATCAAGCTTTTAGAAGGACTTGGAGCTCTTTCATCAAGGACCTCCACAGTAAAAATTGCCCTAACTGGTCGATGATCAGATAAATTAGTCTCACTCCTGTCATATTGATTTTGCTTCAATCCTTTACCATACCATATTATTCTATCACACCTACAAAACACACAAAAAAAAAGTTATTGAATTATTGATAATAAAATTAGGGTAATTAATTACAAGAGAACTCCTCCATTTATACACTTTTTCAAGAAATTCTCTCATATGAAAAATCCAATAAAAAAAACCATTATCTGTGATCATTAATGAAATTTTCATTTTCCAATACAGTTTGATTCTGCAGGCTTTTGGTTCTCATGAATTCCAGGTTAATGAACAAAAAGTGGATTTTACTTAGGGGCTGTTTGGATAGGTTTTTTAGGGTGGTAAAAGAGGAGAAAGCTGCCAAAAATGTCAGCTTTTTGCCAGCTTTCCCCTAAAATCACCTTTTTAAGGGGTGATTTTGGGGGAAAGCTGCCAAAAAGCTGGCATTTTTGACAGCTTTCCCCACTTTTACCACCCAAAAAAAAGAACCAAACAGCCCCTTAATCGGAGAACTAAATTTTTTTTTTCCTCTATTTTCTTCCTTTAAACCCCTAAAATCTATGAAGTGCATGTGTACTATTCAAACGTCTAATCAAGCGCCAACATCTATCATTGCGTCCAAAGAGCAAACCTCCATTAATTATAACATTAACATGTTCATTATTTTGCAATAGATGATGGTGCTTTTTAGGGGGTTAATTTCTTAAAAATCAAGCTGTATATAGATGAACGAGGTTTTTTTGTAACAATTGTACATAGAACTATTATCTTTCAAATTATGAAGTGAAAATATGTCAACCTATTTGAACTCACCATGCAGGAGCACGCTTCTTCTCTCCTTTTTTGCCTTGAAGACAACCATAGTACTCACTAGAATTAGGGTAATATTTATAAGTGGGTGAAAATGTGATTGAGCCCTCTTGCCAACCTTTAAAGGTTCTACCCTCTGAGACCTCAGCAAGTAGCTGAATGAAAAAATAATTCAGTAAGTACATCATATGCATTTTTTTTATTTTAAGAATTAAAGTAAGATTTAATGATTTTCATTCAAGAGGAATAAAAAAATGGGACAGGTACCTGATCTTTTTCCAACAATTTGTTCCATTCTTTTTGTGCAACAAGTGACCTTGTTGCATCCTCTGGCAAGGATATTCTATAGTTCAAATCTCCAAGCATTATTATTCGACTGTTCATGGAACGAGAAACAAATAATTCAGTTAATAACTGTGGTATGGAAAGAAAATTTGAGCAACACGATACAAAAGACATAATTAAATACTATAGTGGTCGTTATCGTTGGTGTCATATAGTAACGCTAATGGAAGAAAAATAATAGTTTGTAGCACTATCACTCATATTGCTTTCAATAAACCACCATTATAAATAATTTAATTAACCAAGTTGTATCTTAGTTATATGTTTTTCAAATTAGGTTTGCTAAACCAGCAAGACCTTTAGCCGATTTGTCCAATAATATTAGCGATAGAGATTCTATATTAAATTATAATAAGTTAGTTTGGGACCATCATTAAACAATTAAGATACTTAATTACTGTTTGATTACATAAACAAGTAAATAAAAACATGCAATGGGCAACGACTAAAATATTTCAAAGGAAATAGTTCCATATTTTTAACTACTTAGCTTTATCAACTTTACAAGGTTTACTTCATTTATCGCTTGCTTTTATCTTTTTCGTCATAACACAAATTTCAAAAAGTAAATATAGAATCAAGGTTGTTGCTTATTTATTTCAAACCTTAGTATCAAACCGATCTGTCCTTTTGTTAGTTTTCCATTGTTAATGTTTTAATAATCTAAGTTAGACTTTCTGGGGAAATTTTTTTTGTTAGTTTACTCACTCATGATCGAGGATTTTTTGCGGTAAATCCAAAGATTCAGAACCTCGTGGAAAAGTCGTCCTAGAGAATATCTCCATGGCATCTGAATTTCGACGAACTTCATCACCTTCCTTCCCTCCCGATGCCAAATGACAGCACACGATGCAAAAACTTGTACCATGCAAGCAAAATCTGACTGATACTGAACCCTAATAAATACAATCGAACAATTTGGATCAACCAAAGTTTTCACCAACAAAAACTTTTTTTTTTTCTTCATTGACCAAAAAAAAAAGTTTTCACCAATAATTTTGATTGAATAAATGGAATGATAAATTACAAGAAAGACTGTTCATTTATTTTTTTTCAAGAAATTTCCTTATCTGGTAAGTTTTATGAAAATCTGCTTCATCTATGGGTCACTTATTGATTTTGTTGGAGCTTTGTTTTTCGAGCATCTAGATAAACATCTACGCTTGGACAAATGTTTGTGCGAACATTTGAGCTTTAAACTAACAGACAATGGCCCTTCGAATTTTCTTCAAAAATGCAATATGTCTGAAGAGCAAAACTCAGCTACAAAACTAACATTTAACTCATTAATGAGCATAAAATATGGAATGTTTATTGAACTTATTGTATGAGGAAATTTCTTGAAGAACAGGATATAAATGACCATTCATCGTAATTTACTTTAAGTAAAATACACACCTTGTTGCCAAGGCATCCAAGAATGCCACAACCAATGCATGAAACACTTGTATGGAGAATGTACTGTGCAAGATTGCTTCCGATCCAAACCGTGAGAAATATTCCAACCATATGTCTGCTCACTATGCATCTATAATCTTTGGCTTTTCTTAATGAAGAAGACTTGTCATTTTCATAAGGATACACCTTTTGCTTCTCACCTAACTTAGGCTCCTCATGACTTGGGTCTGATAGGGTCTTGTTTAGTGTTGTCCTGATGAGTGAGTTCCACTTTGAGGAGACCTTGCTCTTCTCTGCGCCTAGAATGTTCTTGGCTTTGAGAGGAACTACCTCTTGGAACCTTTAAAAGATTTAGAGTTTGTTAGTACACATTTTCATGTTTTGTGTCGTTACAGGGTATTGATTGGTGTGACGTGACACACATTCAAACAATCGACTAAGATCTGAGAATATACTGACATACAATTTTACAGTGATCTGAATATGTGTCACATCAACGACATGTAGTACAACGGAGGGACACGCCAGTTTCGGTTTACTCATGTAATCAGTAAGAGTTGGAATATACGCATACATACCCAAGAACATAGATATCATAAGAATTGTTTCTGGTATCCAACCAATCATCCAAATCGAGATCATCTGATGGCTGAACTCCTCCAACATTCCATGTGCTAGCAAACAACCTTAAAATTAGTGAACCGAAACAAGGAGAAATAATCGTATTAGCATTCGTTAGTTGATGCACAATTGATTCAATATTATTAATACCTAAAAAGCTTTAAAACTCACTTATACTTGTGGATGTGCTTATGGTTATGAGATACAATATTGGAGCTTGCAGTATCTACCAAATTATCAGTGATTGGGAAGTCGGCAACGAAGCATTGATTCCCCGATGGTATGCGAAAAAGCTTGTTGGCCACCAATTTAGGCCACATAACCTAGGAAATTGCATAGAGATAAAGGTACGAATTAGCCTTTAACATAATAGCTAAAGTTGAAAAGAGAGGAGAAAGGAGAGAAGGTTCTCACTTCTTGATTGTTGTTTTCTTGCATGGTGATGGAGGAGGAGTGGGGGAGCGAGGAAGGTGAATAAAGGGAACGGATGGAGGGTATGAGGGGATGAGAGGGATGTGACAACTTTATTCAGAAAGTTGTAGTCCTTTTTTGTAATATAATCTTTAAAGGGTAGCAAGGTACATGAAGCTCCAGGTTTGGATTATTTCAGACGTATTATAATATTTTCTTAAGGGGATTTTGATAAAAAGGCCCTTTTTGCTAAATAATTAGCAAAACCGACCGTTTTGCTAATTATTTAGCAAAAACGACATCTTTTGGCCAACAGGTCAAAAAAAGGTCGTTTTTAAAAAAACGGTGCATTCGAAACATACGGGACTCATAGTCCTGTATATTTAGTCGCCATTAATCACGCTAAAAAACTACGAGACTACTAGTCCCGTAGGTTTTCATATCGTTCTACACGGATCTGCTTAAAGCCCACACCGAATACCTCCGAGACTACGAGACTGCTTAAATACGAGCGCTTCGATCCTCTTCTTGAGATCAGGACAAAGCGGAGACTTGTTCTTCTTAGGGGCAGTTTGTTTGACTAAAAAAAGAGGGAAATCAAAGAAAATGAAACCTATTTCTAAGAAAAAAAGGTTTTGGGATTGCTTGGTTGGCTAAAAAAAAGAAGGAACTCAAAGAAATGGAGATGAGATGAGATGAGTGGTCACCTTATTATAGGATGATGTGAGTGTTTTTTTAAGAAAACTTGTTTTGGTGTTGTTTGGTTGGCGGGAAAAATAAGGAAATGAATTATAAGAAACATATTTCTTATAATATGTTGTTTTCTTTTGTTTGGTTATTTCTTAAAAATAAGAAAATAGATGAGATGAGATGAGTTGTCATTATATTATTGGATGATGTGACCCACACTTAAGGAAATTATTTTTCTAGCTTTTTAGGAGGAAAACAAAGAAATAAAATGCTAATGAGATGAGATGAGTTGTCACAATCTTATTGGATGATGTGAGTGATTTTTAAATATGAGATGAGATGAGTTGAGTGATGTTGTGGATAAAAATAATATTTTATTAGATATGGTGGATGTGATGGATGAGTTGTTGGATAAAAATAATATTTTATTAGATATGGTGGATGAGTTGTTGGATAAAAATAATATTTTATTAGATGTTGTGGGTGAGTTTTAGGGATGGAAATGTGTGAAATTGTACTTTTTGAGATTTCTTGGTTTTCATTTCTATTTTTTGGTTTTTTAGGAAATAACCAAACAGGCCCTTATCGAAAATCTGAAGCCAGCGGTGAAAGAGATCAAAGTAATCGAAGGCCTTTGATTTCTAGAACCTCAAACCCTAGGATACTCGAAGGGTTCTTTCAGAAATTGTTGGGGATGTAATCCAACAGAGCTCGGATCTTCGACTCTGCCTCCGTGCAGCCGAGGCACAAGATCGCCGCCGGCGAACCGACGTCCCCCCCTAGGAATCGAGGATTTTTGCACTCCTACGTTTAAGGGAGATAGGAATCGGTGTACTAATAATTGTAATACAATTTTCATATGGTTCTACACAAACAAAATTAAGGCAGAGGCCACGGTAGCAGAGTACAACGGATCTGCTTAAAGCCCACACCGAAAACTACGGGACTAATAGTCCCGTAGATTTTTTTGCCTCCAACTAAGGGTGACTAATATGTCTCAAATACGCAGTTTTTTTTAAAAACGACCTCTTTTTGGCTTGTTGGCCAAAAAGATGTTGTTTTTGCTAAATAATTAGTAAAACAGTTGGTTTTGCTAATTATTTACCAAAAAATGTCTTTTAAAAAAAAAACCTTTTCTTAATGAAATTGTATAGTCCTTGCCCTAATACCTCTGTATTTGGAAAAGATTGTTTAAGAATAAGTTCAGACATTGTACTACACTTGGAGTACATGATCGATATGTCTCTGACTAGCGTGAGTCATAACGTCTTGATTCAGAAATTTAGAATAGCTTGATTTTTTTTCTTACTCTTCTTGTTATATCTCTAATTGTACCTCTTCTTCTCCTATTATCTTTATGTATATTATGTATCTACTTTCTTTTATTAATAAACTTATTTGATGTCTTACCTCCTCATTAGTTAAATATCTATCTAGAGTATTTAGTGACACCACTGGACATCACTGAATTGCTTGGTTTATAGATATTTTAATTTATTTTTAGTTACATTTACTATTTAGGACACTATAAGAATCAAGGTGAAGCAACATGAAGAAGGATAAAATTGTAATATCGTTAGCATAAATTCCAAATAAAAACACAACAAGTTATATGAGAATATCGCTGGGACAAAAGCCCGCAACTCCCATTGCGCCTCATATTTCATCTTCATGTACCTTGTGTATCTATATTTTCCCTAATTAACAATTTTTCTGAACACCTTCTTGCTCTGTTATTGAGAATGTGTGTGTGTGATTGTTATCTGAACACCTTCTTGCTCTGTTATTGAGAATTTGTGTGTTTAGTTGGTTTTATGTCAACTTAAGTGGACACCAAACCTTTGTCCACCAAAATTTTTATCCACTAATTTATATATATAAAAAGACTCTTCATATCATGCAAGAATCCCTAGGCAACATGAGTGGATAGAAACTTTGATAGACCATCAACTTAAGTTGATATAAGAATTTTTTTCTCTCTCTCTCTCTCTCTCTATATATATATATATATATATATATATATATATATATATATATATATGAGAAATATGGGTATGCTGGCCTACAAGCCCACAAATTTTATGCTTGGTAGTGATGTGTTCACATCCTCACTTTCACTCATTACCCCATGGTGAATGTGCGTTCCCACATTTGAATGAGCTGGAGCGAGAGACATGCTGACACCCCCTCACTACCAAGCCCCCACAACTTTTTGTGCCCTTGCGTACCAAGTATCCTCATATTCTTCGATACTTACTTATATATATATATATATATATATATATATATATATATATATATAATATATATATTATATATATATATATATATATATATATAATATATATTATATATATATATACTATATATACTCATATATGAGAAATATGCGGTATGCTTGGTACAAGCCACAAATTTTATGCTTAGGTAGTGATGTGTCATCATCCTCATTTCACTCCATTACCCCATGGTGAATGCTGCCGTCCCACATTTGAACTCTGAGGCTGGAGAGAGGTGACGACCTCACTACAAGCATACTCATATTTCTGATATATATATACTTATATATATATATATATAACCTATATATATATACTATATATATATATATATATATATATATATCATATATCCTACTATATATATACTATATATATATATATAATATATAGTATATATATATTATATTATATGCAGACAATATTGCGGTATGCTTGGCTTACCCCCCCCCCAAAAAAAAAAAAAAAAAACAAAAAAATAAAAAAAAAAAACAAACAAAAAAACTAAAAAAATCACCGCCCCAATACTAACAAAAACGCACATCTCTTTGTGCTTGGTAGTGCGGCGCTGGCACAATCCCCTCCACTCATTTCAAATGGGGGACCACATTCACATTCGGGTTGAGGCAGCTGCCATGGACGCAGTATACAACCATTTAAGCAAAATTGAGTGAAGCGGATTATGATACCTCACTACCTCAAGCATAATTTTTGTGCTTGAGCTACCATACATACTCCATTTCCCTCTCTCTCCTAATCTCTCTCTCTCCTCTCTCTTAGTATAATATATATATATTATATATATATAATATATACTATATATATATATGATATATAATGCAGAAAAGAATATGGCAAGGAAACTTGCGCTACCAGTTGCTTCAAGCAAACTTACGTTTAGTGATGTGGCCTAATCTTGATCGCCTACATCTACATATGGAGTTGCCGTGAATGCGGTGGGTGAGGCTCTATCTTTCGGACGGTGTGGAATGTAGCGGCTCCAAGATTACGGCCACATCCACTACCTTAAGTTGTTTTAAGCAACTTGCGCTACCAAGGTTTCTCCATATTTCTCTCTCTCTCTCTTCTCTATCCCTCTTCTTTTTTTCTTTTTATCTCTCTCTTCTCTATATATACTATTATATATATATATATATATATATATATACTATATATATATATTATATATATATGAGAAATATGGGTATGCTTCTACCAAGCACAAATTTGTGCTTGGTAGTGATGTGTCCATAATCCTATCCACTCACTATCATGTGAATTCTTTCCCACATTTGAATGAGTACAGGCAGAATTTACAGCTCACTACCAAGCACAACTTTTTGTGCTTCGGTACCAAGCGCATACCATATATCCTACTCTCTCTCCCTATCTCTCTCTCTATACTAGTATATAATATACTATATATATATATATATAGAGAGAGAGAGAGAGATGGGTATGCTTGGTACTAAGCACAAAAATTTATGTTTGGTAGTGAGGTGGCACAATCTTCTCTACTCATTCTAATGGTTGCATATCCCCATGTACTCCTCAATCCATGTGAATATGGTCCCCTATTTGAATGAGTGGAGGGGATTGTGCCACCTCACTACCAACCACAAAATTTATGCTTGGTACCAAGCATACTCATATTTCTTATATATGTATATATAAATATATATAGAAAAGCGATAGGGTGAAATGGTGGCATGGTTTTAAAGATATGTGGCCTCCATATCTATTTGATTTTTCTGCCAAATATTCTCTAAAAATTCTCATATCCTCCCTTCCACCTAATCTCTTTCTTATTTGGGGTAGGGTTAGGGTTCAGGTTAGGGCTCGGGTTAGGATTGGGGTTAGTTGGTTCACGTTAGGGTTAGGATACATGTTCAAGTTTGGGTTCAGATTTCGGTTCGGGTTAGGGCTCAGGTTAGGGTTAGGGTGGGTGGGTTCGGGTTTGGGTTCAGTTTAGGGTTCAGGTTAGGGTTAGGGTTAGAGAAGATTTGATAGGAAAATCAAATAAATATGTGGGCCATATATCTTTAATTAATTAACCTATTAGTTTAAATCTAACCATTAATTTAAATTTAACGGTGTAGAATGGCCATCTCACATTATGAAAACAATCT